GACATAATTTGATCAAAGGCAAAACATATTGCTGAGTCGAATTAACTTCAAATACCGTTCGAGAACAAATTTCCCTTCTTTGTATTTCTGGCTCATTTCATGAGCAGCCTCCTGTTCGCGTGGGAGGAAAAAAATGAGAACGATCAAAGATCTTGAAATAAAGAGAAAAATGTCAAATTGAAATAAAATAATAATAATAAATGATATAATAAATGATAATTGAGATCATATGGTTTGGAAGACGAACGTATTTCCAGCCAACGATTTGCCCGCAACAGCAGCAAAATATATCCGCCACAGTGTGCATTCCGGATGACATCATCCTCTCCTCGTTTGGTCCCATTGTGATGTTATATCTGAGAACAAAGATTGGGAAGATTAAGAAAAATAAAGCCAATTCGAAAGTTGGCCTAAAAATACAAAAGATTGTTGGGTTTCCTTAATTAGATGATTCTAAAGGTTAGATTTTGCGATCAAAATATGATGCCGTGCAAAAGCTGATAGACCAACCGAGACAAACTAAATCTAAGAACATTCACAAAGCACAACATTACTCTAATATGAATCGTCTAATTTTAACTTCTAATGGAAATAAGACAGCTCAACTATAAGTTTATAAGTTATAACAAAGAGCAAAATGATACTCTCTTACACTTACAATATTTTACTTATACAAATACTATCATGTCAAATTCCATATCGAAAACTACATGATCTGTAGTCGTTCAGAGCCCAACAAAAGAACGTTAAGGAATTAAAAAATAAAAATAAAAATAAAAAGCCAAGGACGACCCAATAAACTTAGCCTCATTAGTAGATAAAAAAGCTTTAAAAAAAACCAAGAATCACCCAAAAAACTTAGCCCCATTGTCTTAGAGTCTACTGAGTACTGATCTTTGTTTTTTCCTTTAATAAAGCTTCGCATCCTTCAGCAGATTTAGAGCAAACGAAATACGAAGAATTTCAGCAGAGCCATTGAGGACTTACGCATTACTAAACAAGTATGCTTTCCCCCTACGACAATGAAATGCCTGAGAAGTATGAGCAACCATACTATTAATAAAGCAGCAGTGGCAATAGCAATCTCAAAATTAACAAGCTCCCAACAAATTAAAGCTTCTAGCTGAAATATCAGAACTAAAAATGTACCTTTTCAATAAATATGCCTACATTTAAATTGAAATGTCATAATCTAAGAACCACCGTATACAAAAATATGACATTTCATAGCATACATATATACATTTTGGTTACAGTAAATTCAGCTGACAGTTTTGTTCCAAAAGGTATTTGAAAAATCTACTTAGTCAGAGGAATTAACTATGTCAAATAACTTCTATCACAGTTACTGTAAACANGTTTTTGTAAAGTCCAAACACAACTTAAGAAATCAACCCCTACTGTTCTGCACGGACTTAAGTACTGCAACTTTTGCAAGAATCGATTTTTAGATGGAAAACGAATGAACTAAATCATAAACAAAACCATCAGTTGAAAATTAATGATAAAAAAGAAGTCTTTAAAATGATAAATGACCAAAAAAAAAAAGAAAAAAAAAATGTAACCCGGGACACAAGCTCATCAAAAAGAGCTAAATCAGTTTTGCAGAATTTGCATCTGTAGCTTCTTCCTTCAAGATCCACCACAAATACCCTTCCCATCTCTCTCTCTCTCGCCTTTTTTCTCTCTCTCTCTCACACACACACACACAAACGGATGAGTTTTCTCAGACTCAGTTGTCACTGAATTTAACGAATATAAAGGGAAATGATGAATCAAATCAAACAACAAGAAAAGGACAGGGCTTAGAGCTGGGCTGCAAAGAAGATAGAAGTGAACAGTGTGGATATGAACTAAAATAAAGCCCATTGACACTAGGCCCATATAAGACCACCACTAAGACGGCCCATATGTTTTTACATCACACATTCATACATCACCATCGCCATAAGGTCAAAGTTCCAAAACTTCCAATCTCCCTGTGTTTTTTTTAGTAAACCTTTGCAACCTATCTAGTGACTCGGATTTGAGGTTGCGTTGCTTGTTGTCGTTTCGAGATCTAGTTTTGTTCCACACCGTAGCCGCCGCAGAGCCGCCGGTTTCCTAGGTTTTGGCGGCTGGTCGGAGTATCACCACTACCAGGCAGCCCAGCTCAATTGCTTCCGGTTAGTACAGCCGGTAGTGATCACAAAAATGGCCTGAATATTTTCTGGCCAGCGTAAGAAATTTTGACTTTGAAATTTGTTTTTCCTTTCGAAATGGGCATGATTTTTTGTACTATTCAAAAGGAAAGGAGAAAACTTGCTGCTGTTCGTTGCTTTTGATTGAATTTGATTTTGCTCTAAATTATAAGCACGGTGTGCAAATTAAAGCTTGGAAATTGATTAATTGACAGTAAACGCCGTTGCAGAACACGAGCTCAACATGTATTTCAGATGCCGATTACTGTCCTTACGCTCCATATCATCTCCGTCTATCTCAAACACATTCATATCACGCAAAATTTACGAGCCCTCCATCCCCACTCAACACTATCGTCAATATAGCTCGACTGGTTTCACGAGCAGTCACTGCCCACCACCGGAAAACCCGCCGGCGGACACCTCCATCGACGAGGAAGCCCTCAGAATCCAAACCCTTCTAAGAACACTCTCCGGCCAGCCAACCCAAAAAGTCTCCCAACAGCTCGACTCCTCTATTCTATCTTTGTCGCAGGAATTGGTTCTCAACGTGCTCAGACGGCACCGTTCTGAATGGAAAACCGCGTACTCATTCTTCTGCTGGGTTCTCCAGAGCTCGACTGTACTTTCTTCAGATACCTCGATCCACAACGAAATTCTTGATATTCTCGGCCGAGCCAAAAGATTCGACGAGGTCCACCAAGTGCTCGACAAAATGTCTGAAACCAAGAACCTAATAAACGAGCACACATTCGCAACTGTGGTCCGCAGGTACGCGGCGGCCCACAAAGTCGACCAGGCAATCGACTTTTACAACAATATGGGGAATTTTTTCGGGCTTAATCCCGATCCATCCGCTTTCCAAACACTCCTACTCTCCCTCTGTAGGTACAAGCACGTCGAGCAGGCTGAAAATTTGTTGCTCGAGAGAAAAAACGAGTTTCGAAACGACATCAAGGCTTGGAACATCATTCTCTATGGATGGGGCTTGCTGCGTAGCTTGCCACACGCTAAACGGGTCTGGGAAAATATAGGCCGGTTGAAATGTGGGCCCGATAAATACACGTACGCCATTTTCATTAACGTATTGACCAAATGCGGTAAAACAACTACGTCAGTTGACCTTCTCAGGGAAATGTGGGCCGACGAGGGATGTGGTGGGCCCGACGTGCCCACCTGTAACACCGTTATCGACGGGCTTTGTTTTAAGAAACGAATTCCCGAGGCCCTCGATATTTTTAACGAGATGGGCAAAAGGGGCTGCCCGCCAAATGTAGTTACGTACAACACGCTTATAAAGCACATGTGCAAGATTCGGAGAATGGATAAAGTGAACGAGCTTTTGAGCGAGATGGAGGAAAAAGGTGGGGATTGTTCGCCGGACTCGTTGACTTTCGGTAATTTGTTGCGAACCGCAAAGAATCGTGAGGATGTTGACTGGATTTTGGAGAGGATGAGGAAAATCGGGTGCAAAATGGAAGGGGACACGTACATTTTGCTTCTGAGGTTGTACATAAAGTGGGGTGAAGTGGAAAGGGCGAAATGGGCTTGGGGTGAAATGGAGAGGGAGGGTTTTGGGCCGGACAGGAGGTCTTACACGATCTTTATTCACGGGTATTATGATAAAGGGATGTTGAAGCCTGCATTGGATCTTTTTGACGAGATGGTCTCGAAGGGAATGGTGCCTGAGCCGAGTACCGAGGAGTTGGTGAAGGATATGAGGTCAGGGTCTAATGGAGCCGGTCTACGCTTGAGAAGGAGGTTTTTGAGAGAAAAATAAGAGATTACAATCCCATTTTTTCTTTCATCTTCTTTCTTCTTGAGGCTTAAAGCTCGTTTGGTTAATGAGGCTTGACTGGAAGAGACTCAAAAAGGTGATTTTCATGTAATTTTCATAGTTCGGCTCGTTAAAACTCGATTCTGGCTCATTAGTATTGACAAACGAGTCGAGCCTGAACTCGATTATGAGCTCGTTAAGTTAACAACCTGAGCCAAGCTCGGCTAATTGAGGGCTCGGGTGGTTAAAATGAAGTTTTTTCTCATTTGAATCTATTTTTGGTACTCCGTTTGCATGAATAAACATGTGATTTGAGCAATATTTTGATTTTCAAGACGGAAGACATATTTTTGCTGGGGTTTTCAACGTATGGGCCCACTGCAGAAGGCCCAATGGATTATTGTGAGGTGGACAAAAGCCAAAGCCCAAAAAGTACTAATGGTTGATTATTTCCCCGTGCACAACTGACCGCAGCAGCTTATGTCCCAACCCAAAACAAAAATTCAAGTCCTAATCATAATTCGTCCTCTTTATAAAACGCTTTACGCAAGTGTAGCTTTTGGTTGATTTTCTGGTACCATTAAACACTCACTCATGCAGACGTGTTTATTTCACAGTTAAAAAACCTGCACTGCACAAGATGAAATTCACTCACATAATGCATTCATATAAACTACACATAAGTCATACAAACAGTATTACCTTTTTATATAATCAACATAAATTGAATTAAAGACTTCCAATTTTTTTTTTTCTTTTCCCAATTAATCACTACTCCCAGTACTAAAAAGACCAAAATAATAGCTAATCAACCTCTAAAAAGTACTCTTGTCCTCAAACCCAAACACGCAAAGTTCAGTACAGAAAAATTGTCAAAACACTTGTTAAATAATCAAGCATTTGGCTCATTGGANCCGATATGAGGTTTCAAAACAGGACCACTTGTGATGTACTGATGTTGATGTAATAATAATTATAATATCGAGTATATGTAAAGGGGGACCATCTCCTCAAGCTACTTATTGCATACCCTAAAAAATACAATGAGGGAATTATAGATTTATAACAGGAAAAAGTACAGCGTTGAAACTTGGAAGTCCTATTCTAATAATATGTGTCTATTTTCCAGAATTAAAAGTGGTCCTTGGCCTCGAACCTCATCATTTTCCCAACAAGTCGTGTTAAATTTGGCAATGTTTTGTTATCTACTTGAACAATCAATTTGATGGCATGCCATTTTTTTAGTTATTCTTTTGGTGTTTTAATTAGAAAGAATATCCATCCATGTCTTTTACTATGGAAAAACACAACAACCATCTCGATTTGTTATCATGACAAAAGTATATACCATCTTGGAGAGTCGTTCAAAAGGTCTCAAATGATTGACTTACAATTGCTAACCCAAGTGGAGAAAGAAGTCGGAACCAATATAATAATAATGTAAAGAAACACGACCGTTTATACAGTAGGTATAGGGTTTAAATGGATTTATACAATCGAAAATGGTTCAAAATGAATGTTTTTAAAAAAGAAAAAGATAATAGGTAGTATTTACGTAAAAACAAAATTAGAAATGCTACTTTTTTCTAAAATTGCATTTCTTTTATCTAATTGTACTTGGAATGCTATGTTACTGAAACTAAACTGTTCGCCAACACAATCAATTTTTGCTCGTAAAAGCTAGACTTAGAGCAACTTGGCGAACACAATTAAGTTCGGCCCGTAAAAGCTCGGCTCAAAGCAGCTTGGCTTGGTTACTAAACATTTACAAATGNTATAACCTTAATTTTAAAATAAAATAAATAAATAAATAAATTAAATAAATAAAATATTATAGTACCAAAATAGTAATGACATTTAATGCAGTTGACTTTTCTGGATAGTAAATCTATACTTATATTAAAAGGTATATCATTTACCAGATTTAGTATAAAGAAAAGTCAACAACATTTATTGCATTACTATTTCCGTATTATACAATCTATACTTATATAAAAGGAGATTCTATTTACTATATGTACTATCCAGAAAAGTCAACTGCATTAAATGTCATTACTATTTTAGTATTACAATATTTTATTTATTTAATTGATTTATTTATTTATTTTATTTTAAAATGGTAAGTATAATAAAAAGATTTTAATAATAAAAAAATCAAATACCAAATAAAAATATACACTTTGACTTATTTGATTATATTTGGTATTTGATTATACCAAATATATTCCTATTTAGTATATATATTAAATACTTACTAAAGTATTTATTTGTTTTATTTGTCAAAGTTAAGTATAGATTTGTTTATATTATCAAATCATAAAAAAATATTAAATCTATATTGTAAAAAAAAAAATCATATAATTTTATAACAATTCTACGACACTATTTAACAATATTTCTTTTTTATTATATAATAAAATAATAATTAAATATTATATAGTGAACAACAATAAGTAAAACTGTTACTTTCTCTTATATCAAGGGATAAATTTATATGCTAAAATTAAATTTTTATATGTATAAATGTTTTATTGAGATAATATATTAATTATTTTACAAGCTAGCCCTAACATGCTCATATTTAATGTTTTAAAAGATGTAGAAAAAAAACTTATAATAATTCTATTGTTTTTTAGACTTAAACGTTGATTAAAGGAGGTATAAATTCCTAATTGTTTAGACTTAAACGTTGATTAACACCATAGATTGAGAGTTTATTTAGTAAAATTTCTAATTGTAATAAAAAATTAATTTTTGCTATATTTTAGAATATATTTAAATTAATTATAAAAAAAAAGAAAAAAAAAACTACAATGAAAAAAGCAAGTCAGCTATATATCGATTTGTTGTACTCCTCAAATCACATTCACAATTTGGCTACAAGAAAGGAAACTCAGATTAAAATATTATTTTGTCAGTAATATTAATGTACAAGAGACTTTAAGACTCCACTTGAATATTATAAAACTTTTATTGAACATTGTACAATTTTCTTGCGTATTATAAATTTTTATTAAATATTGCATCTTATATTATAATATTCTCCAAATAAATATATCTCGTGCGGGTCGTACATTTTTCTTTATTCATGTATATAATTATAAATCTGGATAAATAGCTTTAAAATTGTGCACCCCGTGCATCGCACGGGCTCTGTACTAGTGTAGTAAATAGAATATCCTTTTATATAGTATAATACGGAAATAGTAATGCAATAAATGCTATTGACTTTTCTGACTACTTAATTTGGTAAATAGTAGCTCTTTAATATAAGTATAGATTCATTAATCTTGATAACAATATATCATAAAACCATGGGTAATGACCTTTAAGTTGTTATGGTACACTATTGTTTCATCCGTACAATATTTTCCTTACAATTTGATCTACCAATTGCCTTGTCATTATCCCATGCAGGTATCTCTATTTTTCCTTAAATAATTGTTTTTTTTTTTTTTAATGACTTGGTAATGGAAACAAGTACACTACAAAATATTGGAAAAACATCATCAATTCAAACTAGCCATTAATAAATACCCTACACGCATAATAAAAATATGAAAACAAATCAATAACCAACTACTAAATAGTAAATAGATAACAATTCCATTAATAATAGTAGTAAAACAAAATCTTAATACAAGTACCGCGCGCTAAACAAGTCGATTAAACAAAGTTACACTTAAAGCATTAGGCATACTTCAGAGTACTACCTCCACAGCGTGGATAAAAGGTACAAACAACACACAACATAGCAAAAACCAAACACAACAAGCACACATAAATAAAATAACCAACCACAAAGCACGTTTTTTTTAGACTAAAAGATTACTAATTAATAATTAGCACGCTTAATCCACCACATAACTTAATAACCCCACATGCAATCCAACTCCGTGGGTCCCACCCTCGATCCCTCCGGTGGCGGAGCCCACTGGCCAGAAGTTCCATAACCGGTCACCGGATGCGGCGGCGTGGCGGCAGAGAAGACGAACGGAAGATGGAGATTTTCTTGTAGTGACCGTAAGCTCGGAAAACTCATCGGAACCCCTACAAAGTCGCCGCCGCCACCGTTCGGCCGGGCAAAACGGGCGGCTCCGGTGGAGGAGGCCGGCAGGTCGTGGAGGAGCGGCGGCGGCAAAAGTGGCGGTGCCGGGAGGTCAAAGAGGTTTGTGTAGCCAAAACCGGTTGTCGTGGAGAAACAGGGCACGTGCTCCCGTGTGGCGGCATTGCCATCATATGAGCAACTCTCACGGTCATTCGAGGCCGTGGAGTGCTCAAGAAGTGTCGGAAGAGAGACCGAAGATGGTGAGCTAACCTCCGGCTTGGCGGCAGTGCCGGAGGGCGGCGGCCTCTTTTTGCCGGCGGCCGAGGGGCCGGCGCCGGAGCCGGTTTTTTGAAACACCCGAGAGATCACCCACTCGCCCTACACGCAATAATCGAGAGCTTTATTGAAAATTTTGAGAGTGCATTGTTAAGCAAAAGAATAATGTACATAAAAACATGAGACTTTAAAGGCTCATTAAGTATCATATCACACATTTACTTGAACATATCATGGCTTTAGAACGATTCGACTGTTTTCAATTACTGGTGATTGCAGTACAGTCAATAGGGTTTTCTATCATGAATCAATCCACATTAAATTTCATGATAGTTTTCAAACTACCGGTGATTTGCAGTAGTCAACAATAGTTTTCTCTATCGTGAATTAATACACATTAGATTTATTCACATTGTTATGAGTATAAATTAAATAAACGTAACGGTAAAAAACTCAAATTAGGTCATATATTACGGTAATGGTCGAATCCTTAAATAAACACAACAAACGAAACCACTGGATATCATAGGAAAGATTCATTATTTAGCAATAAAATTAAATTAGAGGAAATAATTAGGTTATATTAAATCAAGTCATTTCAAGATTTTAAGTTCCCTAATGTCATATCGTTTTCGAACTAATATCATATGTCATGTACTCATATCAAGGTACCATGCAAACCAACAGAGAAAACTGTACTGTGTCCACTGAACATGATAACGTTAACAGTATACAACCACTCAAAAAAACAAAACCCAATGGCTCAAAACAGCAGATTTTGAACACACACACACAGTAAGGCCCCTGCACCAGTAAACCAGATAATGCAAACCAAATGATATTTAGCCTTCTGACTGCTCAATAATAAATTCAACACAAATCAAAAAAAGGGGCCATATTCTGACAAGTAGACAACAAAATTAACATACACCTGAACAAAACTCTATCAACCCAACAATAACAATTATTTTTTTCTTATTCAATAAGTTGAGATCTTCATTATTTAGCTAACAAAAAGGGTTTCTTGAATTTATTCACCTTGGAATTACTCGATAAATAGTGAAACGCAAATTTGCCCTCCAGACGATATTCATGCATAACCCAATTGCTCTTCTCGCCTTTCGGGGCCCGCCCACGGTAGAAAACCAATGTCTTCTTCATGCCCACAAGCGAGCAGGTCTTGGAGCTGAAGATCTCCCGGTCCTTGCCGGTCGCCTTCCAGTAACCCGACTCGGTGGCCCGGTTTGTCCTTAGACCGGTCGGGTACTTACGGTCCCGGAGACTAAAGAAATACCACTCTTTCTCCCCCATTTTCGCTCTGCCTGCAGAAACAGAGTAAACAAGGTAAAAATTAAAAAAGATCGAAGTTTTACATCGCTTATTTACTCCGGCAGAGGTAAAAAACCTCTTGAAGCATGTGTTTTTTTTTCTATTTTCATTTTTTTTTAACCTGGGAGGTGCCAAGGTTCGCACTTGTTGAGGTCAACCTCGGCTATGGCTCTGCTGGTGAAGTTAAAGTCGAGGACTTTTTTGAGGAGGTAATAAGTTATGAGCTCCTCGTCGGTGGGGTGGAACCGGAAGCCCGGCGGTAAAGCCTCCGGCCTCTCGTAGGCGGCGGCGGCGGCGGCGTGGAAGTTTTCCATTTTCACTCCTTATTTTCTAGAAATTACAGAGTTGAAAGGGTAAGACGCTAAAACAAAAGGGGGCTTTCAAGAAACTTAAATGGATGTTAAACAGATACGATAGACACATGCAATGTGATTTTTTTTATCCTTTATCTTTCTATTGCACAAGTGACAAGATATTGGAGAGTGGCTTGTGTATATTTATATGCACATAAAGACACATAATTGTTTATGATTTTTTTTTTTTAAAGAAAAAATGGGGGAATTATTATTATTAATGAAAAAGGTGGGAACTTTTTTAACAGGGTATGTGGGGGAATGGGTAAACTTGGAGTGTTGCAGGTGGGTTCATGGGGATTTGATTAATCGACCTGGCAGGTGAAAAAGGGGTGAATTAATAACATGGAACTGTATCTATCATGTATCTATCATGTATGTGTGAAGATTTCAACTACACACTCATGAAATTTCTAGCGGTAAAAAAATTAATGTGTATTGATTCAATGGTAAATATATCAATGGTTGTACTACATTGTGTGTAAGATTAATTCTAAGTGGTGATTGGATATAAGTTATTTTGATTTTTGATTGTATTTATTAAATAGCCAAAGTTAATTTTAAAAAAAAGTTGATTAAGTTAAGAGGAAGTGAGATTTCAAAGTTTGTATTAATATAACATTAAAAATTAAGCCAATTTGGTTTGATGTAAAGTATGAGAAGGGTGATGGGGAGTGATGATTAGTAAAAATTATATGTATGTTTGAATAGTAAATTTAAGTTAGTGTGATTTGTGAGGATATTATCTAATTGTATTTATAATATTGAGGAGGGTTGTGTTAAGTTAGCTTTAAGTAAGTTTTTGTGTTAGAAAATTATATGATCAAAAGTGACTAAATAATCTTATCATATGGTTCCGTTACGATGAAAAACTCGTATGTCTCGATTCAAGGGTGAAAGATTTGATAATTGTACATACAGTTGTGTGAAGGATCAATTCATAGATTACACACTAAGCACAATTAAAGTTAAGTGATCGACTTTTTTACAGTAAGAAACTCGATCAAGTGTGTTGATCCAGAGTGTTAAAAGAGAGAACTCAGTGCATGTTTGGATACAATTTTTTTTTTAAGAAATTCAATCATTTTTTTAACTTAACTTTAATTCAATCCTATTAATTTTTAATATTATTAATATAATTAATAGTATTATTCAATTAATTTTACACATTATATCAATTTTAATTTACTATTTATTCACTCACATAATTATAACTAACAATTACTTCACATAATCACATTACGTCTCATATTTTTACATCAAATCAAAATTAACTATTTTATTTTAAATATTATTTTTACATGAACACAAGATCTCATTAACAAACTAACCGTATTATTTTTTCTAAAATTAATTATATCAAACCAAAAAATAAAAATAAAATCAAAACATGTTATATCCAAATATCCCATCAATAATTGTAGAGAAGTTCTTTTAATGTGAAGGTCAATTCATAATTTCATATCATGAACATATATTTACTCAAAAAAAAAAAAGAATGAAATTTGGGAGGAAGTAAAATAGAAATGATGTGAAATATATTAATTTTTTTTGGGGCTGTACAAAAAATGTGGGGCCACTGAAGTCTCTGCAGTCTCTGCAAAACAGCCCTTATCATGTCCATATTGCTAGATAGTATAGCTTGGGGGTGGGTGGGTAGAGGGAGGGGTGATGTACGCTTACGTGTACGTATGTATATGTATTGTATACAATGGTGTGTGTGTGTGTGTTTTAAATTAATTATTAATAATTTTGAATATGCGTGCGTGCGTGAGGAGATGTGTGCAGGTATTCCTAATGTCAGTGAAGAAAATGAAAGGGAAGGAACAGAAAGTAGTTTAGAGAGAGAGAGCGGTTGATGAATTTTCACCGTGAAATGGATCGATAAAAGCTGATTCATATCTCGTCTGTCAGCACAGTACAAGATTAAAATAATAATCGTGTGGACACAGACAAGGTAAATCCATGTCTTTCTTTTTTCTTTAAATATATTTTTTCTTTTAAATAATAAAAAAAATAAATTATTTTTTTTAACAAAACAATAGAATAGTATTGATAAACACTGTAAAATACAAACTAGAAAATTGCTAAAATAGCCTAAAAATTTAGCTAAATAAATTGAATATAGAGAAAGGTCTATATATAGAGATAACCTATAATTACCGAATAAAAGAAACACACACTAAACAAAAACATTAAGTTAATAATTATGTTTTACTGATATTTTTGGTTTGTTCTTATGTCAAATTTTGGTGGGAGTTGTTGATTTTCTTTTATTTTTTATTTTTTGAGTATTTTTTTTTATCAAATAAGTAGAGTCCTAACGGATCTGGCTGCACTCAACTCTTTGTCTTAATTTTACAACTAGTTCAAAGGTTCGCAGAATAGAGTTTTCCTGCAATTTCTTGAATTATTGGTTCAGGTCAACGAGTTAAGGCTCGAGTTTGATGATTCATTAATTTTGATAAGTAAAATGAACTCAAACGCATTTATCAACTCGGGTAAATAAAATTATTTTTTATTCGATTTATTGGTTAATTGAGTTATTTTGAATAAAGTTGATTAAGTGGAGGATTGAGTGAAATTATGAATTTTTATTTAAATAATATTTAAAATATAATTATTAAGAATAATGTGATGTAAAAAATATGAGAGATATTATTAAAAATGATACGTAAGTTTCAAATTTGATTTGATTTTGAACTGCGAACTCAAATTCATGATACTCAAATTCATTATGAATCATATAATCACCCATCTCACATGGCCTACATAACTATCTCAGCGCCGACCACAAGGAAATTCCTTTGCACATATTTAATTACACCCAATGTGAAAAAGGTTGTCACACATAATCAAATTAATCGCCCCATATAAACGAAGTTGTCGCCCGCGAACCGGATATATGTCTAAACTCTAAAGGGAAAATGAGACAAATGGTCCTATAAGTTTACACCTTTTTACTTTTGGTCCTCTTCAAATCACCTTTTTTCTTTTGGTCCAGTAACTTCGTAAAATGGCTGCAGTATGGTCCTTTTTTGACCCAACGGGCCAACCTTTACTGATGAATCCTGCGTGGACCCGAAGCTCATGAAAAATAAAAAATACTAGTCCACGCGGCGAAGGTTATAACTCAGAAAACAAGTCTTAATTGCCCTAATTACCTGAAATTTGGAGGGAAAATTGCTTTCATTTCCCTCCACCGTGAAGAGCCCTAATATGACATGAAACTCCTACCATTTTCCTAAATAGCCCTAAAATCCGAAATAGATTAAGACAATAATGGCGTCCTCGTCGTCTTCTGCTGGGCAATGGTCGAGTTCCGATTTTGAGGATGATGATTATGAGGTAGAAGAAGAGGTTGGTGATGATGATAGATTGTTTGAAAATTTTGTAAATTCTGATGCAGAATGATTCCCAGGCGGTAAACAAATCGTTGTTGGCGAGTCTAATCAATCTGAGGAGGATGTAATCCCAAGCGATGATGATCTTATGAGTCAATGGTTCAGACAGTGAAACTGAAGGAAATAAGCTCACCAGCTTTAATCCTGTTCATATCTTTAATCCAAATTTCAGCATTGGAATGGTTTTCTCCACTAAGTTAGAGCTCAGAAAGGCCATTCACTCTCATGCCATCAACACAAAGAGAAACATCAAGATCACAAAGAATGACAAGACAAGAATACATGCAAAGTGTGGAGGTGAAGGGTGCGAGTGGAAATGGCATGCTCTGAAGTTGAATGGCGAAGAAACCTTTCAGATTAGGGCATATCTCAGTGAACATACATGTGTTCCCTCTTACAAGTTAAAAAACCTAACTTCAAGCTGGTTGTCTTCTAAGTATGCTCAGAGGTTCAACTCAGATCCTACTAGAAAGGTTAAAGGTTTTAGGGCAGATGCAATGCATGAAATTAGAGTACAAGTTAGTAACTTTCAAGCATATAGGGCTAAGAAGTTGGCAGTGGAAGCCCTTCAAGGGAGTGCAAACGAGCAATTCAACCATCTATGGAACTTTGCTGAAGAGGTGAAAAGAACTAATCTAGGGAGTACTATCATCATAGGGACTGAGGTTGAAAATGGAAAGAAGAGATTTGACAGAGCCTACTTGTGTCTTCAGGCATTGAAGGATGGTTTCATGGCAGGTTGCAGACCTTTTATTGGTGTAGATGGATGTCATTTGAAAGGTCCCCATGGAGGCATGCTCTTAACAGCTGTTGGTGTCGATTCGAACAACAATATTTTCCCATTAGCAGTGGCAGTAGTTTCTAAAGAGAATAAGGACACATGCGAGTGGTTCTTGATTTTGTTAAAGCTAGATTTGAAGCTTCAATCTGACTATGAATACACCTTCATGTCTGATAAACAAAAAGACTTAATCCAAGCATTTGATGAAGTTTTTCTGAATGCCGCGTGGACTAGTATTTTTTATTTTTCATGAGCTCGGGTCCACGTAGGATTCATCAGTAAACAGGGGCGAAACTACGCTATGGCAAGGAGTGGCCTCGGCCATCCCATAATTTTTTTTTTTAAATAGGTATAGGGGCCGACTGCCGAGGTCGCCGGCCGGAGGCGGCGCCGGCGCCCTTCCATGAAATCTGCGCACAGGGAGAGGAAGGGGCGGACTCACGTATAGGCGAGCCTGGGCAATTTTTTCTGCCAAGGATGAGTTATTACAATTTTAAAAGATTTATTGAGTAGAAAAGGGCAAAAACCAGAGAGCTGCGTGCGTGAATGGAAGAAGAAGACTAATACAGATGCAGATTTTTTTTTAAAGAATGAGCCTACAAAACGACGTCGTTTTCGGCCTCCATTTAATTAAAAAAATAAAAGCCAAAACGACGTCGTTTTATACTACAAAAGTTAAAAAAAAAAAAAAAAATTAAAATAGCAAAAGATTTCTGCCCCTACCCATTCCATTACGCACGCAGACAAGAAACCCAAATTCACAAAACCCTATCCCCTGCCACTGCGGTTGAATCTTGAATGGTTTGATCAAGATTTGATTAAGCTAATGTAAGTGTTTAATGTTTTATTTTTATATATGTTGTTCAACAATTCATATCAATTTTTTGCTTTTAATTTTTAACCTCAGATT